CGTGCGAGCATGGCGACACGACCGGCCCTTACCGGCTGTCCGACGACTTCCTCCGACAATTATATCATGGATTAACAGAACTTAACATGACATAAAGAAATACACATAAATTGTTCGGAGGGTCATAAATATAATTTAATATGATCGATGAGACGTGAACGACCGTGGCGTGCGCGACGTGCGCAGCCCATGGCCTCGACCATTTTCTTCGATCGATTGACAACTTTCTCCGACAATTGATACATGACTGATCATAATATATCCAATAATGACTAATGAAACGTGAATCGCTCGGGAGTTGCCGAATAAAATGGACATGGCTTGGCATGGCTTAAATGGTACGACCGAGAGCAATTATGGCTTATTCATGAACTTAAACATATGATTATAACTTAACATGATAAAATTAACATTAAAATAGGGTCAAGATGAGATTACCCTCTCAATTGTTCGATCAATGGTACAAAATTCTTGTGATTGTTCGGTCCTTGCTCGTTGTGCGTACATGCGTGTAGTTCTTAAGACAATAGCTTCTAACTCTTGCTTTAAATCTTAGTTTATGGCTTAAGTTCAGATTTTTATATACCCAAACTTCACTCACTATTGAATGTTTAAATAGAAGGAAAGGTGAAATTTGGTAAAAATTGGGCCAATGGCCGTGCGCCTCTTGTCGTGCATTGAGAGGTCTTGGTGGCTTCTCTTTTGCTTAGTCATTATATCGGTGGCACCCAAATACTTGCATTAGTCATCACATGAATGTTATTAAGATGCCACATAAGCTAGCTAGCAATGATATGAAGTTCACATGCATCTTACCCCAACAACTTTCGGTAATTGACTTGGCTTAGGCTAAGCATGATTGGCCTTGATGATCATGGCCTAAGCATGATTGGTGCTAAGCAAGATTAGGGAACGCACAGCAATTAGGCTTGACTAATGGAGCTTGGAACATGTGATAGTCGTGACAATTAACTATATACTTAGAACAATTTAAAATTTAGATCTTGGACCGAACTTATAAAATTTCGGTCGGAACATGACTTCAAAAATTAATTCGAACGTTCTTGACTTGAATAATTAGTCTCGAATGATAATGGTCGATAAAGTAAATATTTCGGAACTAAAACACGTAATTTACATTAATAACATAGTGGGCTATTACATATACTTTATAAAAGTATTGACAAATATATAAAAATAATATTAAGATAAGAGTAAAATATGAAAGAATTATCATTTTATAATTTGTTTGAAAAAATAGAGTTATTTATTTTTCACTTTAAGATATTCTTGAAAATCAATAAACGAAAATGATAATACATGCATGACGATGTTAGGAGATGTAACAATAATTTATCTTGGACAATATATATAGATAGGTACCCTTCAATCAACCAACGTTATGGTATTATATATAGATAGATAGTTATCTTTAGTTAACCAAGGATGTTATTAATCCTAATAATTTTCAAGTAAATTTTCTTTTTTAAATAATTACGACTTATTTAAAGATGTTTTCAAATATTTTTATCTCTTATGTCATTATATACAGAGAGGAAATATATATCTAAATATTATGAAATATTACACGTGCAAATATAATTGAATTTTCAACTGTTATAATCAAAATAATAGAGAACAAAATTTAACCATAGTGGGTTAGCTTCCAATCAACAATAAAAAAATAATAATTGCAAATTATAATTGTAGTAAAATTCGAGTTATTTTTCAAAGAGTATGACACAAAAAGAAGATATTAAAAAACAATTATTTTGACAATTATTTTAAGCATAATTTCTTTAGCATTTAAAATTTTAATCATTATTTCTTTAGCATTAAAAAACATTAAAAAACAATTATTTTAATCATTATTTCTTTAGAATTTAAAATTTCACAAAATAAATTAATTTTATTTTGGATTTTGTACCAATATTTTTTTATTTAATTTTATTTGTCATAGAGTTCAGCTAATAGTATTAAATTTTTTTGTTAAACAATGGAGAAAATTATATAATACTATTAAATAAAATCTAATAATAAAAATAATTTTAAGTAAGAAAAAAAAAACAACAATATCACGTGCGTAGCACGTGTATCTTCCTAGTATTATAAAACGAACAAATGTGTGTACAATTTAGGAGCTTGTGAAAGTCAATTTTATCAACAGAACCTATGACAATTGTTAATGTCTTCACATTTCAAGTGGCAACAGCATTTGGTTCTGGTATTTGAGATGAAGATGCGCGAGTCCAATGGCGACCAAGAAAACATTTGCATCAAGGGCTCCTGTTATCTTATGCAGACACACCATATCCATCTATAACTTTCCATCACCAGAAGGAGATTTCTACACGATAGGTGATACATGAACATAGTTCTCCTAGAAGAAAATGATGATAAGCAAGTCTTATTCATGTCTTTCCAGAAAAACAGCACCCAATGCATTTCACATACAAAGTAACCATCCGCAAAACGCATAGCAATCTTTTTGGAGGATAGCCCCGTTCTTGCATTGCCTTCATACAACTGTTACTCTAGTATAACCTCCGTCATCATTAATCTGCATTTTTAAGTGAAATAAGCACATGCTCGTGGAAAAGAAGAGAACAGAAAAAATGGTGCATATGCTGAGTTGAAAATAGATAAATGAACCATAAGTTAAAGTGCAGATCAGTAACCGTGATGTCTATCACAAACCTCAACAATGTCTTGATATTTTTAAAACGAGAAAATTACACTTTGCCTACCGAACTATTCGCGTTTTTACACTTTGCCCACTCAACTTTTTCCGGTGACACTTTACCCCTTATACTTTAAATATTCTTGCACTTAACGACTTCCGGCCACCGGAGATGCAAAATCAAGGGCAAAGTGTAAAAACGAGAATAGTTCGGTAGGCAAAGTGTACTCGTGGAGGCTGATTTGAGATGTCTCCTAAGGTATAAAAGACGATTTTGCCCTTGATTTTGCATCTCCGATGGCCGGAAGTCGTTAAGTGCAAGAATTTTTGAAGTTCAAGGGGTAAAGTGTTACCGGAAAAAGTTGAGTGGGCAAAGTGTAAAAACGCGAATAGTTCGATAGGCAAAGTGTAATTTTCCCTTTTAAAACTGAAGGGAGAAACCCAAATATTGGTTTTGTTGAAAGTATCAAGTGACATTATCAGTGACAATCGATAGGAAAACAGAATATAACATTTGCACAAACTTCATCAGAAGTAAGATAAAAGCTAAGGATGATAAAATCACAATTCAGATTTTCTGTGGGAGAAGGATAAATTTAATTGAACTAGTACTTGTATAATTGCAACTATCTAAATTCATTTCAACTTTTTTCATCCTTTTGAGAGATTAAGTGACTTCTCTGATGTCAATGCAGACGTCTTAAAGAGAAGAAATTGCATTAAAACATTTACTAAATAAAAATAAGCAATTAGAGCAGAGTAAGACACAATTCAAAATGGCATATTGTTTTTTATGGGAGCAGTTATATATTTTATGTTTTACTCTCTAGTCAAAAGAAAAGGACAAAGATTGGAGGAGAAAAGTGCGTAACACTAAGTACCTAGATTTAATGTGTGAAAGTAAACTTCCTCAACAGCGACAGAGGCACCGTGCAACTGAATAGCAAGTACTGGAATTGGAAGCACCAGTTTTTGGACTGGAAGAGGTCTGGCTTCAAAAGAACTTCGGATAAACCATTCCCCGCTGATACTGAACATATCTCTGCAAGGGAACTCCAAAACGCCTCAATCCTAACTCAATCAATCTATAGAGCAAGTGCTCACCTGCGTCAAAATAAAATAAAGATAATTCATAATCTCAGAAGCACAAGGAAAAAGTAAAGACTGAAGAGAAGTTTCCATTACAGTATCGGACTGGAAAGACACATTTACTATAACTAGTAAGGTGCACGTGCTACGCACGTGAAACATATAATTTGTCTAATTGAATTTGCATATGTCGTTAAGTTGATTTGATAAAAGCATATTATTTATGATATACATTTTAAGTTAATTATAAGTATATTTATATAAATTTAAGTGAAAAATGGCTAGGATCATACATATATATTTACTATGAGAAACAAATTGCAAAGGTTTGATGATCTTAATCGGTTATGATCGGTTGACTTATTTCATACTTTAATTCATTTTAACTAAACAAAATTGGTCAAAACTGGTTGGATTCATATCCAATTGTGCCTAGCTCAACAAATATTTATTTTGGAAGTTTGAAGACAATCAATTTAATGCTAATTGAACAAATGTTTCAAGTAAAAACCAATAAGAGTTGAAGACACGTACACAAAGACTAACATAAATGTGAAACAATTTTATTTGCACTAACACATTGTCATAAAAATCATGAAGTTTTAAAATTTTAATTGAAAATGATATGGTAATATGGACCTGGTAAAGTTTCTTTTGTCTAAAAACCTATTGTAATATTAATATACAGTGGATTATATCTATTAACATTTTAATTTTAATTTTTTAACTTATCGTCGTTAACATGTTACATATTAATCAACTTAATATATCTTATATTAAGCATTAAATGTAAACAATTAGGCATATTCACTGTTATCTAAGAGTATAGAGTAAGTACTGAACTCGATACAAATTATTTGCATAATGTAAAAGTACAATAAATTTTTGGCATATTAACGTAAGTACAAAATAAAATTTATAGATGAAATTTTTATATTTAATATATTAATTAAATAATGAAGATTATTAGTGAAAACGTTATATTAAAGTGTGATTGTCTGTATAGAGAATATTTATTTGTGTCTTCATTGAGAAATATGATTAACAGGTTTCCACGTTGAACCTAAAATGGAAATTAGAAATGTCATCTCATTCTTACAAAACTGTAGATGAATAAGTTTGATTAAATGTGAAAGAAAAAATATGGATAGTTCAATTATTTGTCTCTCTTCAAGTTACTTCTCGTGCATCATTTGGTTTGCATCAATTGATACCCACCACTACCCTTATTTTTTTTTTTTATTTCATATTAAATTTTGTTAAGTAAATTGCAAATACAAAAGGTATTCATAATTTTAATACAACCAAAGAAGATACACCAACAATTTACATTCATATAAAAGGATTAGCCAACTTTTATATTGCTATTTTTATAAGGAATTTTTCCACCCAAAGTTTTTTTGAGAAATTTAGAAAGTTTTTTTTTAAAAAAAAAAAAATCGATACACAATTTAATATTTTTATGATTTTACATTCCATTATTGTCATTATATTTGAAAATGTTATGACTAATTAATTTGATTAAATAGTTGTCTTATATGAATGATTAAATTATAAATATGACATTATACAAAAATTAAGATACATTTTTATATTAAAGCCATTAATTTTGTAATGTAATAGACATTTGTGCTATTGATCTATGCCCTTTAAATTTGTTAGTATTTCTAGTTTTTCAAGTTTATGTTTTATATTTTATGTACTTAATTTGGTCAATCTACATAAAAAAATGCATAGTTGTATAAAATTATTCTTCAAACACAAGGCATTAAAATTTAAATATAAACTAAGTTTACATAATAATTTATGTATACTTTCAAAATATATTTATATAGATACATATATAATAAAAAAGTAAGAAAATAGAATGAGCAAATTTAATATTTACTCCAAATAAATATTAAATATGTAACATGGTAATATATGATTGGACTCCCACAGTGGGTAACCCAATAAAAAGATAAATAGAAAAGGTTTGTGATGTTATTTTCTTAAAAAATTATTTAACATGAAATATCACATGTTAGTGCATTTTTCCGCATTAGTTTGAAAAACATTATGCTTAAAATAAGTACAAATATGAAAAAAAGAGATAAACAAATATTTCAAACACCAATTACATGACAATAAAATAAAGAACTAATGGGTCGCTTATTAAATCATAAACGTATTATTTGCTCAAAATAGAAATAAAAATTAACAATATATAATTTTATAAATTAAATGTATAATAATTAATAAGTAATAAAATAATATAAGTTAAATATCATATCAAAATGTTACTATAAGAATATAATAAAGTATTATTGAATAATATTATTTTAATTAATGTACTACATTTTGTGCATTTTAGTAATTTCTTTTATAATTTTTATCTTACATATTTTTTTTTAAAAATAAATAGCATAATATATTTGCAAAAGAAGTGTATGTGACAATTATGTGATAAAAACGTACATATATTCGAGATTACTACTCTCTCTCACATTAAATAGACTCTTAATAAATGACAATTAAGCCATACAGAAAATAAAAAAAGTAAGGTTAGTTTGGTCTGCCCAAATTTTTTACAGAAATATTGGTACTTTTAAGATTGTAGAGATCAGAAAAAAAAGAGAACAATTGCAGAAGTACGTAACTTCCCAAGAAGATAACTTGCCCAATAGCCTAACTCGTTTAGCCGAGCCAAACTCGAGCCTTAACGAGCTGAGCCGAGTCGAGCGCACACGCGGCTCGTTTCGTTTAACAGCTCCATCTGTTATTAAATATCCACCAAACACTTCTATAGACCAAATAATACAAACTGCTGTTAACAGAATTTGCTATTTTACAATCACTTATCAGTAAGTCTTCTTGAGTTAAGACTCCCTAATGGCTAGGCAATCATAATCTTCCAACAAATATACATACTATCGTTATCTATTGTCACACTGTACTACAACATACCCAGTATATTCCCAACAAGTTGGGGTCTGGGAGGTCAGTTGTACGCAGACCTTACCCTTATAATTATACAAGGGGGCTGTTTCCGTAGCGACCCAAGGTGCATTGCACCGTTTGATATATTTTTTTTCTAGAAACTTCACTAGTAGAACAAGCACTAGAATTTAATTGAGCCATTTTGATCTAGTCCATTATTAGCAGCACTATGCCAGGAGAATTGTCAACAATGACTCTTCCAGCATCAATTGTCACACTGTACTATATAAAGAAAATTTAAAAGTCTAAGCATGCATTTTATTTATAAGAAAGTATGGCTGCATAACGATAAGGCAAGGCAGCCTAACATTCAAATGCTTAGCTATTAGCTTTCCGCTAATTGCTAAACAAGGCCAAACAAATTTATCCCCCTCTAATAGACTCGCCATTCCCCATTTACAGTTTGTTTCTTTGCTTTGGATCTTGAGGGTTTGTGGATAAATGATTGAAACTTATCCACTAAGACAAACCTAACTCTCCTCTTGAATATCCTGATGAGCGGGGGTGGGGGGTAGGGTGGTTATGATAATGGCTGAACAAAAGGAAAACAATAGGAAAATGAAACGGACCTAAATAGATGAGGCACTATATAGAGAATGCAGCCTTTTTAGGTACCTATTAGCCGGTTTAATCCTCCTAATATCCAATTGCCAATTGTCCCTTTTTTCTCTCCTTATCTACCACACTACCTCCATTCCAAATTTCTTACAGTTAACGAAGTTTTCACCATAAGAAAAACCAAGATACATTCACAAATGACGAGAATCACCACCTGCTTTTGAGACCAAGTCCGTGCTAAAATACCATTTTTCGAGAATAATTATGGAAATCAGAAACTATAAGCATGTAATTCAAACCGGTAATAGTAATAAAGATTATACTTGCTCCCATGATCAATATGCCAAATATGCTCATGCAAATAAGTTTAGACATTCGCTTGAGATCAAATGCTACATTATAATAAACCAATGACATGTACAAGACATCAGCGTGCCGTATATTTTGTATCGTATTATCACAGGATTAAACTAGGGCAATCAAGCAATGTTTAACATTTCAGTAACCTACCATCTCTGCTATACATGTACTTTATTATCAACTAAAAAGTTTGACGGAATACAACACATTAAGGCTGAACCCTATCTGCATTCAAAAAAAAAAAGGCTTAACCCTATCTTAGGGAAAAAAGGAAAGGGAAAGTAATTAATGAACTGAAAAATCTGCATCAAGGATATTTAAGAGTCATTTACTATAATCAATAACCAAAAACTGCAGAGAGAAAACAAATCAAAATGGCAAGTTTGAGAAAGCTGATTAAAAAAGAAACAAGTTTCACAGTCATTTCAACTAATTTCCAAACTTAATAACTGCAGAGAGAAAACAAATCAAATGGCAAGTTTGAGAAAGCTGATTAAAAAAGAAACAAGTTTCACAGTCATTCAACTAATTTCCAAACTTAAATAGTTTGGTAATTGATTTGGATCCGAAATGAATCGTCAATGAGAAGATATTATCAGCATGATAAAAGAAATGACAAGTTTGACTTATAGATGTGGTGAAACACTACCAGAGTCTTTAATCAGTCTCATATAATTGGTTTAAACCGAATGAAGTTTACCTGCTTATAGACGCAGTACACCGTTTGGCCATCTTCTTTAATATTTCATTTGCCATGGCAGTGTTGGAGCTAAATGCAAAAGCATCCACCAAAGATTTGTATACATAAGTCTCCGGTACCATCTCATTATCTTCCATCCTCTCCAAATAGATTAAAGCAACATCCGGCTTCTGGCACTTGCAAAGCCCATGTATAAGAGCCATGTACGCAATCCTATTAGGTTTACATCCTTTTCTCTCCATTTCACTCCAAAGGTTAAGAGCTTCATCAGGTTTTCCCGCATTACATAAACCATCAACTAAAATTGTATAAGTAATGACACTGGCTTCCTGTTCTTCTTCTATCATCCTTGAAAAATATTGAACAGCCTTATTGATATTTCCATCTTTACACCACCCATCAATTAGCAGATTGTAGGTAGCCACTGATGGAACAAGCCCCTTACCAAGTATCTCATCCCAAATGTCCTCAGCTTCTGCTGTTCTTTTGGCTTTACAAAGTCCCTTGATGATGGTGTTATAGGTGACTACATCAGGGCAATAACCTCGTTCACAAATTTCTCTGAACAGTTTCAGACCACGATCCAATTCGTTGACATTGATAAAACCATCAATAGTTGCAGCAAATGCGATCAAGTCAGGAAGAAAACCTTCTTTAGTCATTTCAGAAAGGAACTTATACGACTCAGATGCCTTACCAACTTCGCACAATTTCTTGACAAGCAGCGTATAGTGTTTTATCCATGGGTCATGGCCACAACCACGCATTTCCCTCAACAAATCAAGAGCTCCTTCAACATCCATTCTTCTGCATAGGCACCCAAGTATGCAATTGAAGGTGAAATGTGTTGGCTTGAATTCTGAACGCTTCATCTCATTCAGCAGATCAAAGCATTCTTTCAATCTGTCAGCGTTGCTTAAGCAATGGATTAAGTTATTGAAAAGTAAAGTGTTACGTTTTGAACCACTTTTATCCATAGCCTGGAACAGATCTAAAGCCATATCTAGCTTACCAATATTACACAAACCATCAATAACAGTTTGGAAACAACTCGTGCCAGGTTGCTCAATAGTTGAAGATATTTTGTCCCGGCTGCTTCCATTCAGGCCAGATTCTATTACTGCCTTGAGCAGGTGATATGCTTTATCAACATTATTATCATTGACAAGACCTGTCAGAACAGAACTGTACAACTGCATCCTTTTCCCCGCATTCAAATTCATACTAATATCTTCAAGCAATTGAATCATGTCCCTCTCCTCCGTTATACACACTAAAAGCTGGGTAATTATCCGAACATCAGGCAAAATCCCGAATTGCTGCATGTTCTTGTACAGCAGCACAGCTTTCCCCAGTTCCCTATCCCTACATAAACCTCCAATTAGCACATCGTAAACAGAAATATCTGGCAGAAATCCAAGGTTTATCGTTTTATCATATAGTTCTAGAGCTTTATCTACTCTACACTCCCTCACAAACCCATGAATCAAAACACATGCTGTCTTCTGATTTAAGTTTACCTTGAGATTCTTCTCAGCCCACTCAATCAACTCAAAAGCCATATCAACCTTCCCGCACTTGCTATAAGACAAAACTAAAATACCCAATATATGCTGATCGACCCATCCCTTATCAATCAGATCATTGAAGACCATCAAGGCCTTATCAAACTTTCGAGCATTGCAGTAGCACTGCAATGCAGGGGTTAAAGCATGCTTATCCACAGGACAACTGGAACTTCTCATCTCATTCAACCTACACTCCAACATAGAAACATTGCCACTTTTTGCAAACACTTCCAACAAACAGTTATAACTATACGAATTTAAGGCACAAAGTCTGGATGTTTTCACATGATCAAACAAAGAATTAGCTTCTTCAACTAAACCCTGACTACCGAGACACCTCAAAAAATATCCCAAAGCCCCTGGGGTCCAAATACAAGGGGATTTAGATAGACTCACAGCAAGATCCCTTAGTGGGGCATTTTGTCGAGCACTTGATAGGATTGCAGCCATAGCATTATACGTGTAGCAAGTGTGCGAGTACCCTAATTGCTTTGAAGCCCAGTTGAAGAACACCTGGGCTAATCTCCAATTTCTGAGAGATTTCAATACAGATTCAACCACTTCAGGAGTGAGCTTTGGGCTAAGTTCTTGAAGCTCAGGGGACTCTAAACAAATGGGTCTTCTTGTGAAAACGGATACGAGAGAAGCTTCCACTGTGCTTCTGTTGGCAATGCTGCAAATGAAGTTTCTCTGTACCAAACGAACTGTACAAGAAATGTTCGTGATCAAACTTTTGTTGGTAAATATGAAGAGCATAAAGCCGCGATGAACTTTTATGGGGTTTCTGGTTAGGCACGTATAAGAAGTTGCCATAATAAAGGCTTCCAGTTGCAATGAATATACAGTCCAATGTGCTATTTCTCATCAGAGTTCCATCATTTTACTGCAAGCTACAGCACAAATTTCGGTGCTTTTTGCTACCCCATAACTTTCTTGGAATTGTTTGACTTCTCGGCGTCTCGTAACTGACGTGAATGTGAGAGATAAGAAAAATAATTATTTTATACTATTGGACCCATTACTCCTCTCACATGATCTTGGGCTACGTGAAATAGATAAGCTATTTGTTAGTAGCTAGTGACTACTCTCTCTCTTACTTTTCCCCTGTCCACGTCATAATAGTTAGCCAAATAGCTAACCATTGGAGAAGCCCTTATGTAACACTAGTACAGTTGGGAGCTATGGAAAAAAAAAATAAAAAAAATAAAAAAAAATAAAAAAAATTGAAAGAACAATTGTAATTAAGGTTAAATATAATTGATTTATAATTGAAAATTTTCTTATATACAATATTGTTGGTTTTATAGTTGTTTTCATCATTGCAAATTAATATTTTCAATCATCTCTTCATCTTCTTCAACATCATCCTCTTCTTGAGCAGATTTTTCTCTGCATTTATTCTTAGCATTCTTTATTTTTGATAAGTTCGATTCACCGAATAACTTTCTCTTAGAAGAGTGTTTCAGCGGTGGCGATTTGTTGGGAGTTGGATTCTTTTTTGGACTAATCACCTCATCATCATCAATTTTCTACTTGTCATCCACATCAACCCCCTAAATATATAAAATAATTAAATGATTAACTTCATATTCTTTTTTATAAGATTAGATTATTACTAATTAAAAATATAAAAGAAATATAATTTTTAAATTATAAATTTATATGCATCTATAAATATATATATATATATATAATTAAAAACAGATTTACCATTTTTTAAAAATAGTAACTAATTTTTTGGTCAAACATCTTTCTTCATTAAATGCATTCTACTTATGACAACCTTTTTTTTTTTTCCACAGACAGCATTACCTGAAATCCAATCCATATGAGATGTTACATATTAAGTCCATTTAAATAATATTAATTTATATCTTATTATATATATATTTTAAATTATTTTTGATTAATTATAATTTAATATATATTTTTATTTATATGTATATCTTAATTTCAACATTCTTTTACCTTCGTAAATATAAAAAAAAATGAAATATAGATTGCAAAAAATATTTAAAATCTATTACTATAAAAAAATGGAGGTATTTACTTGAATTGGATAATATTTGGATTTATCTTCTAACTTGATCACTAATTTGACAAATGTTGGACATTGAATAAAACTGCATATAGATTTACATAAACCTTTGTTGATAAAAAAATGACGGCATACAACAATTAAGTTTAGATGTTGAGAAATATTAGGAACATATATATCGTATATAGGATACTACTGGAAA